GAATGTTAATATTTGTATTATTTTATCATTTTGTAAATATATTCAATATAAATTATTATTTAATGATGATAAAATAAAAAATAATAAAATATATTTCCATTATATAATAGAACAATCAATTAATAAGAAATGTAGAAATGACAGTATCTTTATAATGAAGAAATGAGAGAAATGAATAACAATAAGAAATGGATAATGAATAAAAATGAATAAAAATAGAAATGAATAAATAAGAAATAAGAATATATAAGAGAATATGATGAACAAAACAATAATTAGATGAAAGAAAATAAGAATAAAATGAAAAATGAAAGAATGAAAATGAATGAAGTGATAGAAATGAAAATAAAATGAAGAATAGAATAAAAGTAATGAAAAAACATAAAAGAAGAATCTATGATAAAAACAACAAAATAATATAATTAGAAAAGTGAATAAATATAATATTAATCGTAAATATAGCAATAAATCATATCATCTCATTTATATCATCAAATAGATTGTATAAGTGAATAAATAGAATAAAAGTGAAATATGAATTGAAATTAATGATGAATGAATATAAATGATAAAATGATCAATTATGATAATATAAAATAATATTAAAATATATTCTATTTGAATAGTTTTATATGTTATATTCTTCATTTAAATAATTGAGTATTCTACAACATAGATATTAATTGATTATAAATTATCAAAAAATAAAATATAGTTTAAATATATAATATTTAATAATAATAATATAGTTTAATAAAATAAATAAAAAATAGTAAATTATAATAAATTAATAATAAAAAGAAGAAATTAAAATGAAATAATATAAATAATCATAATAATTTATAATGAAAATAAATATGAAATAGTTTTAAATCTAATAATATTTAAATTATTTATATTTTTTATTTATTATTATTTTTATATTCATTATTTCATCTTCTTATCTTTCTTTATTTTCATTTTCTTCATTAATCTCTTCATTTATTTTATTTATTCAATTTATAATTATCATATTAACATATTGTATTTGATTTATTAATTGATTTAGATTTAATTTATTTAACAATTTGTTATTTCATGAATATTTAATTCATATGAATGAAGTTGATTTAATTAACAAATATCATTTTCATTCATTATGATATTTGTAGTGTTTATTAACAATCTTATATTTTATTATCACACATTCAAATACACATAGTTTAAAACAAATTAGAAATAGATAAATAATAATAAGAATGAAATGATGATATGAATAAATAAATGATGTATCACCATTTAACTACATCAATATATTTAAATCAAACAAAACACAAATTATAAACACATAACAAAATAATAAATGAATTAATATCATATTTAAAAACAACTTCACATGACATATAAAAAGAAGAAATAATAAAAGAATAAATCATGATAAGAATACATAAAATGATAATGATAATAAATATAAATAAAATCAATAAAATAACAAACTATAAAATAAAACAATGAAAACAATCAAACCATACAACATATAATAAATGTTATAATATCATTTGTTTGAATCTTGTTTCTTAATAAAAAATAAATAATAAAAAAATAATAATAATAAAATAATAATAATAAATGAAATGACGATTATCTTAAAAATATTTTAAGTTTAAATTTAAAATAAAAAGAAGAACTAATAAACAATAATAAATCAATAATGAAATTAGGATATAATGAAATAATGATAACATCAATGTATTTTAATGATATTAATGATTTTATTAATTTAGAATTAGGCGTTAAAAGATTTCAAGGAAATATGGAACGATTTCATTTTAATCCAATTCCTTTACATAATTATTCAAGAAGATTCTTTCCTAATATTGAAACATTTCATATTTATACTGAAAGCAGTATGGTATTTAATGATGGAAGAATAATTAAATTACTAATATGGTATACAGTAAATTATTCAACATATTTAAAAGAAAAGAAAAAAGGAAATATCTGTAAACATATAGAATATACCCAATCAGATAGAAATAAATATGGAAATACAATCACCCCAGAAGTTACATCACTTGGAAATTATTGTTTTAAATATTGTAATGAATTAACATCTATTAACATACCAACATCTGTTAGTGAAGTAGGGTATTGGTGTTTTTATGGATGTACATCATTAAAATCAATTAACATACCATCGTCAATTAGTGAAGTAGGAAAATATTGTTTTTCAGAATGTTCGTCATTAACATCGATTTATATACCTACAACAATTACTAAATTAAAAGGTGGTTGTTTTAGAGAGTGTACTTCACTAACATCAATTAATATTCCATCATCTGTTAGTAAAATTGGAGATTGGTGTTTTTATGGATGTAAATCATTAAAATCAATTAATATACCATCATCTGTTAGTGAAATCGGAAATAATTGTTTTAAAAAATGTTCATCATTAACCTCAATTAATATACCATCATCAATTAGTAAAATAGGGAATGAATGTTTTAAAGAATGTACATCATTAAAATTAATTAACATTCAATCACCAATTAGTACATTAGGAGGCCATTGTTTTGATAAATGTTCATCATTAACTTCTATTACTTTACCATCATCAATTAAAGAAATGGGAAATAGTTGTTTTGAAGAATGTTTATCATTAACATCAATTAATATTCCATCAACAATTATTGAAATAGGATATTATTGTTTTAATGGATGTACATCATTAACTTCTATTACTTTACCATCATCAATTAGTAAATTAGGAAATAAATGTTTTAAAGAATGCTTATCATTAAAATCAATTAATATTCCATCAACAATTATTGAAATAGGATTTAATTGTTTTGAAGAATGTTCATCATTAACATCTATGAATATAGATAGTCTACAATATATCAGTGAAGAAAAAGTATTTATGAATGAACCAGTGTTAATTAGTATTAAAATACCATATAATCTAGAAATAATCAATGGAAAGAATATTGAAAAGAAAAATATTAATGAATTTATTATTCCATCTTCAATCACTAAATTAGGATATTGTTGTTTTAGTAAATGTTCATCATTAACATCAGTTAATATTCCATCAACAATTATTGAAATAGGATATAAATGTTTTAAAGAATGTTCAACATTAAAATCAATTAATATACCATCTTCAATTAGTAAAATAGGTGATTTTTGTTTTGATAGATGCATATCATTAACAACAATTAATATACCATCATCAATTACATCATTTGGACGTGGATGTTTTTATAAATGTGGATGTAAAGATGAATTAAAACAAAATAAAAGAATACCAATAGAGTGTTTTGAATAGTGATGAATGAAATAAAAATACAATAAATGAAATACAATATAATTTGAAGTAGAAATAAATTATAATTGATTATCATTTATATTATTATTATTATTTTCTTATTTATTCTTTTTGATATAAATGATAATATAAATATAAAATGATAATAATTGAATAAATCTATTTGTTTATGAATGTTATTGTTGATACAATAATAAATAGAAATAAATAAACAAAGAGTTAAGAAATTGATGAATAAAATGAAAGTATAAATTTAGTTTATTAGAAATATAAATATTGAATCTAAAATAGTTTATCTTGTATGTCTTCAAAAAAGTATATTATCAAAATTGAATAATTAATTGATAAGTATTTTATTAATAATTCATACAGTTTCTTATAATAATAAATATTTTGTATCAAATAGAATAAACATATTTATAACATGTGTCTTTCTGTCATTTTGATCAATTCATTTGAAGAAAACTTCAAAGAATAATTATTATTGTTTAATTTTTAATGTTTATTTGTATTTTATTTTTAATGAAATAG